TTTCAGACCGGGTTCTGATGAAACCAGACTGGGTTCTGTTTCAGACCGGGTTCTGATGAAACCAGACTGGGTTCTGTTTCAGACCGGGTTCTGATGAAACCAGACTGGGTTCTGTTTCAGACTGGGTTCTGATGAAACCAGAACAGGTTCTGGTTTGTTTTCTGCAGCTGAACCTGGTCCTGATGTTCTGTCAGTTTAGTTTGGACTCTTTTTGTCAGACAGAACCGAGCTGCAGACCTGGAACCACAGAACTCAAACAGGGTCCAACAGAACCTGAACCTTACTGAGGGAGCAGAACCTTCAACAAGTTGTCTGACTGGTTTTCTGCTTTAGAGTCTGATCCAGGTCCTTTGGTTCTGTTGGTCCAGGATTATTTATGATGAGATGATGGGCCGAGGTGATGTGTGGCACTGCGTYTGTGTCTCTGTGACCTTTGACCCCTCCAGTCTATAAGCTCCTAACATGGTCTCTCGGTTCTAGTCCCTCCACCTGGGTCAGCTGTCAGTAGAACCAGTAAAACTCAGCTGATTTAAACAGGACAGGGGTTCTGATCCGGGCTCAGTTGATACCAGAACAGAACGTGGTTCTGGGTTCTGCTGAAGCTCATCAGTTTAGGTTCCAGCTCTGAATATCAGCTCATGCTTTAGCAGGAAGAACACACACTCCCTGTGTGTGTGTGTGTGTGTGTGTGTGTGAGTGGGTTGGTATTCTGTATATGTGGAGACCAAGGCATACACACCTACTTGTGGGGACCAGCTGGTACCTAAGTCCCCACGGGGGAATGCTGTTGGTGGTCAGGGTTAGGCTGTAGAAAGAAGTCAATGCATCGTCCCCATAAAGATAGCTGAACTAGCCCGTGTGTGTGTGTGACAAATGAAACTATTAGCTTGATGATGTAGCATTCATGCTAGCAGTGTTTGGATCAAATTAAACTCATAATTAGAATAAAGCAGTCAGCTTTCTCCTGAGTCAGCAGTTTGATTTTACACTGTTGTTTTTCCATCAGACGTCAAGTGAGGACATGTTTACAGGAGAGATTAAAGATAAACTTTTTATTTCTGATGAACACACCATGTGTTGTTAGCAGCTAACGTGGTTAGCCAGAAAAAACCTGAGAATTAATTTCAGGACGTCATAAAGACARTTTCCTGATGAGTAAAAACTTCATCCATTTTTTTTAGCAGCAAACGCTTCGTGTCTCTAATCTCAGATTTGTTCATCTGTTTGTGTGAGATTAGGTTAATCAGATAAATTTCTCTTACTTTTGTTCGTACAAAGGGTTCGTACGAACATGTCACGTCAGATTCAACAAACTCTTCTATCTTCAGGYAAAGTGTGTAAATGAGCTGCGTAAATTCACCTGTTCTATCCAGCTGCTCGTGCACGTGAGAGGAGATTAGCATAATTACCACCCCAAAAAC